GAAACCCTTCCATCCGTGGACGCTCTTTGTGAGCTAGACGAAATGTCTGATGGCGAGTTTAGCCAGGCCTTGAAGGCAGGAGAGTTATCCGAGTTAGCGGTCATTAGACCTGATACTGAGTTGAACTCTTCCTCGTTAATGGATGAGTCTGTCCTAGAGGATACAAAGGCGGCACTTAGTGCACGAAGTGGATCTTCGATCCTTAAAGATCCGTCGGATCCGTTCTATCCTTTAGTCAAGGAATTTCAAGATGTGGTGTGTCACAACCCACCTTCTGCCTTACCTCCGGATAGAGGTGTACGTCATGAGATTGACTTGGTTCCAGGAACCAAATACTGTGTGACGCGACAGTGGCCGCTGCCACGAGAACAGTGTGACGTCATTGACGAGTTCTTTCGTGCAAAGCACGCGGCTGGCATGGTGCGTGAGAGTAAGTCTCCTCACTCTACGCCCACGTTTTGTGTGAAAAAGCCTAATGGGAAGTGGCGAATAGTGCATGCTTACAATAAGCTGAATGCAGCCACTATCCCGGCTCAAACACCGATTCCTCGCAAGGATGTTCTTCAGAACAATATGGAGGGATGTACAATGTACAGTGCCCTCGACTTAGTCGATGGATATTACCAACTGCTCATGCGAGCTAGTGATATCCCGCTGACAGCGGTCAGTACTCCGAGCGGTATGCTTTGGGAGTGGTTAGTGATGCCCCAAGGGCTATCTAACGCACCTGCAACGTTTAACCGGTTGGTAACGCAACTATTCAGACCTCATCGAGGCTATGCACAAACGTACTTTGATGACATTTTTGTCCATAGTCGTGCAATGAATGGGCGATCAGATGTGGATAACCACATTGATCATTTACGAGCTGTGCTCGAGTGCATGCGAACGAATAAGCTGTATGCGAACGCATCGAAGTGCATCTTCGGTGCGGAAGAGATTCCCTTTTTGGGATGCTTCATTGGGAAGCGAGGCCTTCGAGCGGATCCCGCTAAGGTAAAAGCCATAGTCGATTGGCCAGTCCCCAAGAACCAAAAGGACTTGCGTAAATGGCTTGGCCTTGCCAATTACTTACATAAGTATAGTGCAAATTACGCAGATATGGCTAGGCCATTGTCCAATCTCCTTAAAAAGGATGTGGGTTGGTGTTGGGGTAACACCGAACATAATGCTTTTGAAGCAGTTAAGGAGAGTCTCCTCCATGCGCCAATTTTGGCTTTGCCCGATTCTGGTCGGCCTTTCAGTGTCGTCTGTGACGCATCTGACTTTGCCATAGGCAGTGCTCTGTTACAAACAGATGTCGACGGACGCGAACGCGTCATCGCGTTTGAGTCTCGCCAGCTGAAAGCTGCAGAGAAGAACTATCCAGTTCATGACAAGGAGCTACTTGCGATGAAGTACGCTCTTGTTAAGTTCAGGGTACACCTGTTGGGCTCAAAGCCATTTGTGATCTATACCGATCATGCGTCGTTACGCACAGCGACACAGTCGCTTCATTTCTCGCAGAGAATGGCTCGTTGGCTCTCTTTTTTTGCGTAGTCTAGCTTCGACGTGAAGTATAAGCCGGGAAAACAGAATGTTTTGGATGACGCGATATCGCGTAGACCTGACTATGAGCTTGCTCATGTTACGACCCTGTCGTCGTCAGTCCCTGACTTAATTCGTGCGGCATATGCCAAGGACGATCAGTGTGTAGCTTTGCTACGTGCTCTTGGGAGCAATGAGTTTAAAGACTCGGACATAGAATTGTCGGCACGTTTACGTGCGAGGCTACATCGATATTCCATCGATAATGGCCTATTGTGCTATCGCACGGATATTGAGGACAACCCTCGTATCGTAGTACCTCATAATGAGGAATTAAAGTATCGGATCCTCTATGAGGCACATGATACTGCTTTAAGTGGTCATTTAGGTCGTGAGAAGACCTACAGCTCGGTGAGCCAAACTTATTCGTGGCCCAAACTATACAAGTGGGTGTGCAACTATGTGCGTACGTGCGAAACGTGTCAACGGGTAAAACCCTCGGCACATGCGGCGGCGCCGCTGGCTAGTTTGCCAGTACCCAGTGGTTGTTGGGAGTCCATTAGTATGGAATTTGTGTTTGGCCTACCGCGTGATGCGGCAGGCAACACTGGGATTGTGGTCTTTGTTGACCGATTGAGCAAGATGGCTCACTTAGCGGCAGTGCCGGACTCCATTGATGGAGAAGGAACAGCAAAGCTGTTTATGGATCGTGTGTTTCGACAACACGGATTGCCTGTGGCAATTATCTCTGATAGAGACCCCCGTTTTACGGGTAAGTTTTGGACGTCAGTCTTTAAAGTGCTCGGCACTCGACTGGACATGTCCACGGCGGATCATCCGCAGACCGATGGTCAGACTGAACGTGTCAACCGCGTCATCAACGACATTTTGCGCAGTATTTGCGCTGATACGCCTAGGCGTTGGAGCACAATGCTCCCTCTTGTTGAGTTTGCGTTGAATAACGCGGTGCATGCCTCGACAGGCTTTACTCCGTTCTATATAAACGGTCTCACTCACCCTCGCGTTCCGTTAACGCTATCACTACGTGAATCAGGGCTTAGTGGGGGAGAGATAGCCGAAGGCTTGGCTGATATCAGCCCTGCTACTGTTCAAAAACAGGTAAGCGAGTTTCTCGCAACGCGATTAAATGTCCTAAGACATGTGCGTGACGCAATGGCTGATAGCCAAGATACCCAAAAACAACAAGCTGATGCCAAAAGCAGAAATTGTATTGAACGTTATGAGGTCGGAGACCAAGTACTACTCAATGCTAAAAATCTACCTACAAATGTAGTGTCTGCTGTCTTTAAGACAAAGTTGCGTCCACGCTTTATTGGACCTTTCAAGGTCACGGCCAAAAGGGACTTGCGTATACGCTAAACCTCCCACGCAAATTGCGCACACATCCCGTGTTCTACGTAGGCTTACTTAAGCCGTACCGGGATCCTTCCCATGTGAACTTGGAGGCGCTTGCGCCGACGACAAGGGCACCGCCCCGGATTGCTGTAGACGAATCAGCAAGTCCAACTGAGCCTCGCTCCGAGTTTGAGCTTGCTCCATCGCCTGAAGGCGGTTTTGCATCGCATCCAGCATGCACTGGGACTTACCCAAGGCCGCTTGAAGACCCTTCACTTCGAGAACCAATTTCTCGTGGGCCTCCACCGGTACACCGGCCGCCACCGACGTTGCTCGATGAGCATGGGTGTCGTCAATTCCATGTCGAGAGACTACTGAAACGACGTCGTCGTCAGGGCCAATATCAGTATCTGGTAAAGTGGCGTGGGTACCCTGAGTCTGAAAACTCATGGGAATTTGAGGTACCCCTTCGGCAAGACTGCCCATATGCTTTGGAGGCTTTTGAGCATCGTGGCCATGGTCATCGCGAGGCCGAGGCCGTTCACCACCACTAGTGGTGCGGGTTGGCGGGTTGTTGGTCACAGACTGACCAGCACTCGCGGCTACCTTAGTAGCCGAAGCATAGCGCGTGCGCTTGCGCAATTGGCCTCTGGCCTTAAGCTTGGCATAATCATACCGAAGCTTGCGTTCGAGACGCACATCCGCCGCATGGGCACTAGCCCTTAGAGCAAAAATGTTGCTGAGGCGACGCACATAGTGCACCCAGTGAACAAAGGCATCGTCTTCTTCACTCGCTGTTTCGCCTGCGAGCAGGAGAATGGGTATACCCTTCATCGGTGGAACTGGTGCACCACGTGCTTGCATGTCAAGGCGTGCCTTGTATTGACTTTGAGTCGTTAGGTGCGGCTCCAGGTACCTCTCACGAAGTGCCTGGCAGCTCACCACCTCCTCAGGAGTCTTAGGCCCATGGCCAATGACCCACGTTGCCAATGTTTGGCCGGCCGCTTGACGCAGACGTTCCTCCACACTGGGTGGGGTGAACACATAATCACGCTGGCGTTCAAGGGTTGCAGTCATCTGTGCATAACGCTGAGCGTTTTGTTCTCTTTGAACAAGCAGTTGTTGTTGCTCATCGAGCGGGTTCGCGATGATAGTCTCATCAAACCCAGATGCTGCACGCTGCGCTGGCGGCGCGCTCGCACCTCCACGTTCAGCGAACGGATTTGGGGTGTTCGAAAGTTGTGCCTCAGGCATCAGTGAGCCGGACGTTGTCCCTGTGTCACCGCGGACACTGGTATCGCTACCATAGTCCACCTCTTCCTCTATTCCGAGGTAGTCACACAGAGCCTTTGACTCGTTTGGTGATGAGGACATCGTGCTAGAGCGTACGTTACCGTGAGGTTCACCGTACGCGCACTGTTCTCGCTGAGAATACGAGTTCGATTGACGTTTTGGGTAAACGTCAGTCTGGTGGGGGAGGGTGTAACGGGGTTGCACGAAATCATGGTACTTTGTACCAGAGGTGTTACACACCTGAGGGTTCGCTTCTGTGAAGGTGATATAGAATATCTTATCGGTTTGTAGGGGCTGACAAGTGTCAGCCATTAGATACGAAAGATCTTTGAGTAGGATTAAGATATTCTATAGGCTTTAACATTAAATAAAATCAGTTCCCATTTTGATCTGAAAGACGCGTGGCTTGCGAGCCGTCTTGATCGTTGATCTCTGATCACTAAGAGTTAGCAACACCTCCTTGAGGTAGCTACTCTTGAGCACTAAGTGCTGTCGATTCACTGAATCGTTAGGTCCCCTGGAACAGGGATCTGAAGCTGTAAAGCTTGCTGACTCGTAAAGTCGTTAGTTCTTTGGAACTAAGTTGCTCGTAGAGCGTTAAGTCTTCCTCTGACTTAAGGAGCTGTGTAGCTCCGCTACAGGCAACTTCTGGCCTTTGGGGTCCAAAGAAAGTATCCAACCTAAAAAAGGGCTCGCAACGTCAAGCAACATCCCCTCCGAGGCCTGTTAGGGGGGTAGAGGCTCGAAATTGGTATGGCTCAGAGGCCCACGAGAACGAGCATCGTACCTTGTATGATTGTGCCCGGACCGCGTGTCGCTATCTTATGGATTGTTTTCAGAAGAACAAGACAGATATTGAGCATCGTGCACTACTGGCATGGCTCCAAGGGGTGATTATTCTTCCGACACCTCTACTTTTTGTCACCGAGACTCATGTCGGAGCTGAACGCGATGAGTTTCTCTCGTACCATCTCAAGCGGCTCTTCCCGCGGCTGTATGGGCGTCTTCTCGTCGGGTACACGTTACCAGCAGCTGGAGCCGAACTTTATCTATGCCGCGCTCTTCTGGCGGGAGCTTCCTTGGACGAAGAAACTACACGCGTCGAAGGAGTTTTTACTGCAGCATATCGGGTTGAAGGCTCGGCGCGCTCACCTGTTGTCGAGTTTGTGTTCATTCATCTGGAAGCTCAGGTGGAATGATTCAACGCAGTCTTTCGTATCGACAAAGGAACCTCTCAGCTCCAGGCAACCAAAGCGATCGATACGGGCTGTCAACCTACTGGGAACGACAGGTATTCCCATGCAATCCTCAATAGTGTTTACGTGATCGGCAAGGGATCCGCTGAACCCGCGCTGATTTGAACTGCGATGACGGCTGCTACTCCGGTACCAATAGTATCGATCGAGTCCGTTGAACCCGAGGGTGCATCCGAGTTCGGCATTTAATAGTGTGCGGTCACCTTTGCGACTACTGAATGCCCTGAAGAGCTCAAGCGGCCACGCATGCAAAGCGTCACCACCAATGATTATGTTCTCGAGATGGGCGTTCATCACCCACGGACCAGCTATCGCATCCCGTGCAGGGATTGTCTGAGTACTAAACATAATTGTAAGTACTGCAAGTCCTCCAACCCAGCCTCATCTGCAGCGTCCTTCACCAAAAATGTGACAGTCGCTTTAACATCCCCTCCAGAGTTGCTTGTCGCCCCAAACGTAGATGACCAAAGATTGATGGCTCTTCGTGAGCGACTCGCACCATAGGTGCATCACCACCTACAGACCCAAAAGGTGGCTACTGTTCGTGCTGAGACTCGTAACAAGCCAAGGCAGTCGCCAAAGCAGCTGTTAAAGCTGCTCGCCTCCACAACACCGAAGTCAACGAACACGCGCAGCTGCTAAAAAACAACGGAAAAAGCAGAACAGGCCAAAGCTCAGGCGAGAGAGGATATCAACAAACAGATTCGTTCACTCCAGGACGGATCGATGCCGTTACCGTTCAGCCGTGGCCATGTAAACAATTGCACATCCCCGATTCCACGGGCTCCCCACCCAGAGGCCGCAACGGGAGACGACATTTCTGCGGTGGGAGAAGACACTGGCGTTCCGTCTTCTGACAAGGGACCCGGGTAATACCGGGACAACAGCTTGTGGCATGGATCACAGAGACAGCGGCGAGACTGGTTCTGATGATCCTCTACCATGTGGCTCCAACCTGCGCCGAGAGAAGCAGTGATGACGCATGCGTCACGGACGTAAGTGAAGAAGAACGGGATGGGTGTAATGAGATACAGCCAAATGTCAACCCCTCGTGCGGAGACAGCTCCGGGGACACGATGATGGAGTCCATCAGAGCTATGGATGACACGGTACGACTGGCGGATCTAGATACAGGAGCTGAAAGCTCCGAAGATCAAGACGGTGACGATATGGAATTGCCCGCCCAAGCTGGTGAAGGGCCAGTCACCTTTCCTCGCTCTATAGAGGCCGCCTTTGAGCACAACTAAGCGATGGATGTTGTCGCTCCAGCGACCTTTTCTCAAAAAGCACCCCCGCTTTTTCCAATCAAAGTGTTAGCGTTTACCGAGGCATAAAGCGCCCAGAGGCAAGCCAACTCCCATGAGACGACGATGTCGGCGCCGCGTGCACGCAAGACTCCTGCAGCGGCTTCACCAGCGATAACGATGGCGGCTGCTTCACCTGCACCCCAATCATCTACGGCAGAGAGCGGTAATTCGGTCACTCATTTACGTACCGAACATCAAGCCGAAAATCTGGTCGTCATGAAAGCATGGATCACCTCACGCAAGCGCAGTGCACAACTACCTGATTCAACGCCACTCTAGAGAAGGATCTCACTAACTGGATCATGCGCTGTTCTCCTGAGTCAATGAGCCTTCTACGGTCTCTACCTCACACTGGTGATTTTCTTTAACGAATGGCGCGGGATTCCTTCTTAAACTTTGGACACGCCATCAACAGCGAATCACAGTTAGTGGTGATACGGTGGCACGCCAAGGACATTACCCTGCCGGCGAGAATACGCGACATCTGCACGAGGTGGAATACAATAGCTTCGGCACAGACAGCTAAAGTTCGATGGAAGACCACTGACTCCATCCAGAAGTGGAGACGGGTAGTGCAGATAAATGGTAGCTTTACCTGCCCAACCATCAAACAACAAGCTGACACCGCAAAATGGGGGGGGCTTAATGCTATTTGCGTCCTCCTCCCCACCTTAGCTCCGTTTGACACGACGACAGAGGTAGTCCTGCCCCAGACTTTATTGTCACTTTATTTCTCGTCCCCTGCGGTGCGTGAAGCGTTTGCAGGATCCATCAGTTCTCCAGCACACTGGCAACCGTTTCTCAATCATCTACAGTCGAGGAAACGGTAGCTCCCGCCCCGTTACTAAGGGCACCTTATCTACCGCTTCTGCTGGTCAAACCGTTCCAATTGACCAAAACCAGCGGGCAAATCACTATCCCGGCCCAGAGTCCCGGCAACGTCAGCCCCGCCCGCTTGACAACACCATCGGCTTACACACCCAAAACGTCGCGGGGTTCCCCAAACACCCAACTCAATGTGCGGAGTGGTTATCTCATTTCCGACAACGCAGTGATCGTGGGTCCAAAGAATATCGTTCTTTTACAAAAAGTTAGAATTCTGATAGGGGAAGCATGCGAGATGGATGCGCTGTACAGCAAAACATGGAGTTTTGACACGGAGGACAGACGAGGGATGACTATGTGGACTGAGACGGAGTCGCGACGAGGAGGGGGTCGCAATCCTTCTTAACCCATACTCATCGGTAACACAGATCGTTCCGTGGATGGAGAAACTATGGAGGGAAACTGGATGGCGGCACAATTCACACATCACGAGAGTGTCTTTGTCGTAGTAAATGTGTACGCCCCGAACGCCTATCATGCGCGTAAGGCGCTGTTTCAACGACTTTTAGCTGTACTCCCGCGACATGATGGGCCAATAACCATAGGCGGTGACTTCAACTGTACATTGAATTCACAGCTCAACCGTTCTTTTTCAGTACCTGGAGGTCGCCATGAATCGCCTGCCCCAAGTGGGCTCATTGAACAGATATGCGTGATTGACGTACTGGATGAAGCATTGGAACAAGTGGTCGATGATCGTGGATATCGGGACTTTTATGCAAGGACTCACACATATTTCTATCAACTGCCTACGGGCGGTACCGCGAGTTACCGGCTAGACCGGTAATATTTTAGCATACAACAGACGTCTTGGATCCGGGATTTAGAAAAATCTTTACCGGGTCCACTCGCGGACCATAACGGCGTAACTGTGCGGATTGGTGCTACCTCACAGACATTTACAGTGCGGAAACCTCGGCGGGTATATCCGGTGGCTTCCTGTGCGGAACAATCGATTCGGCAACTAGTCGAACGCGCTCTTCAAGAGGCGAGCCTTTTTGCTGACAGCACTTCCACCACTGACTTCTCGGATAAACCGACTGCTCAATTGTTGGCCTCCTGGTGGGACCGGTGGAGACTTGATCTTCGCAAGGACATATTGGCCGAGACACGCCGTGTTAAACGTAGCATAGTTAGAAGCTACCGTCAACAGCTTCGTCGCCTTCATCGACGGCTTCAGGTGTCACAAATGAACCCCACAGTCCCGGATATAATGTTGCCTACTCCCACTGCACATGACAGGGCACACGAAACAATTACTGAGATTTTTGATAACGACGCTACGACCTCCCAAGATATTCGCAGACGCGTATCAAAGTGTCATCTTCGTTGGCAACGTGCAGAAAAAAACGACTACTACAGCAGCATACGTACTGTCCTGGACAGACTCCGCGGAGATTTGTTGCTCGGGTATCTTCATAATTTCAGGAAAATACGATTATTCTCTTGGTGGTGTGGCATCTTGCGGACCTAATCGCTCGCAGGAGCTAGCTGACGAGATGGCCGATGGATGGACGGGTGTTATGCAGCGATTTTCAGACACGCCCCTTGAAACTGCAGCTTTCTTACGCGGGACTTCCTCCCATACCGACCTGGATGACACAGCAATCATAGCTCCGATTACTACGGATGATATCAGTGATGCTTTGAGGAAACTTAAACGCGGAAACTCTTCCGGACCTAATGAAATTGGCAACCCTTTATATCGTGATCTTGCTTTGGACTTTGCTACCATTCTGGCCCCACTTTTTTCGCGGTGGTTTAATTGTGCAGTAGTACCGGATTCCTTTGGTGAAGCTAACATCCAATGCCTTTAGAAATCGGCGCTTGCGACATTGCCACTTGATCATCGGCCTATCGCCCTCCTACATAGCGATTAAAAACTGTTTACAAAGATTTTAACAGGGCGGCTTTCTACCATTTTACCCATGACGATTGACGACGCCCAGGTCGGTTTCGTGCCTGGTCGCTCTATTGCGACAGCTCTAGACATCTATGCGGCAGCCAAGATAGCACCAACGACCGATACCACGCAGCATGGCTCTATAGCGCTGTTACTCGATTTCACCAGGCGTACGATTCCTTGCAACGCCCTTTTCTTCTCGCTGTGCTCAAGTGGGTAGGTATTTAGCAGCAGTTTATTACAATTGTCGAGTACTTCATCAAAATACAACTTGTCGCTTTTTAGTGAGCGGTTTTAGGTCCAAGCGACGTGATGTGCGGTGTGGAATACGGAAAGGGTGTCCCATGGCTCCTCTACTTTTTAGTCTTGCGCTTGATTGCCTAAACAAGGGTATACGAGCACGCCCTGACATTGAAGGAATAGCCCTTCGATCAGGTGACCATGCAGAGACGATTTCAGTGTCCGGCTATGCAGACGACACGGCGCTCTACTTGCGTGGTGGTACTTTCATCCCTACAGTCCTGGACATCCTTGACGCCTTTTATTGGGCATATGGTCTCACGATAAACAGCACTAAATCCATAGTCTCAGTGGTGGGGTCGTATGATCCGGGACGGGTAGTTGAATCCCAAGGTCTTTCGGTGCTTGGGTCGAATAAGCTATGCCGTTATCTAGGGGTACAGGTGGGACAGGGCGACACGACGGAAGCAAAATGGATACAATATTTTGAATCCTTTCATTCTCGACTCGCTTTGGATCGTGTAAAGAATCACACCGTGGAGCAGAGGGCGTGCCTAGCGAATGCGATAGCAATACCTAAGATACTCTACGTTGCGCGACACTGTTGGCCTTCTTCGCATATCATTATTAAGCTTTAGGGTTTTATTAAGGACTTCGTATGGGGTAAACGAAATGGGCGACGCTCGCGCCACTGGGCGCAAGAAGAGCACGGTTCACTACCGCTTTAAGATAACGATATGTCCACTCCGTGCGTCCGCGCAGAGTTAATTACGCTCGCAGCCATGACGGTCGGCAAATAGGCCACGACGGCCTCCCCCAGGGATCTTGTCGTGGGCGATAAAATATGGGGTTCTGAAGACTCACGCCTATTATACATTACCCCGCACTGGGGTCCGGAACCAAAGCAAACCATATCTGCTATCCTGTGGGAGACCAATGCCAACGCAGTTGCGGTATCCGTTCGCGGAACACGCGGGAAGGCGCGATGTGACGGTCGTGAGACAGCGGGCGGCGCTTTTTGAAACCAGAGTGATGACCACTTATGCTGAGGACGGGGTGTCATCGTTGATGCCCGGGCTTTGCTGGACCTTTCGACTCGTAACGATAATTTGGAGAAGAAATCATTACATGGACGTTGCAACACAAATTGGCTGAAGCATGCATCTCTCGGGACCTTAACTTGGCTTCTTGACGCTCGCGGAGGATTCTATCAGCTTAACAATGCCAGCTTTGCACGTGACAAAACCACGCTAGGTGACGTTCTCTCCTGTACGTGGACTACAATGAGTGTAGTCCAATTTACACCTAGCAACAGATCACCCACTACACTGCCAGGCAAACAAAGGCAGTTTGGATGATTCTGTCAGGCTCTAATTTTCAATTACCCGTCTTTCCCCTACCGGGCTATGGGGGCTACCTTTTTTGCCCGGTCTCGATTGATGTCCCTAGGCATCACACCTGGACGTTAAATAGTACTGGCATGGCCGTATGCCACTGGGATCATGGCCAGCCGTGCTACTCGGCGCCAGTGCGCTCTATGTTAGAGTGCGATCAGGCAGCGACTTGCTCCAGCGGATTATCGATCCGTCTTGCGTCGCATCCATCGCTCACACGTATCGTACACATATATATTGATCGAATGGGATGGATTTCTCGCCGAAAGATTTCAAAGCGTCAATTGCAAAATTGAAGTGTGGAATTGGAGTCCTACAACGGGATAAACGCATGACGGCGGTCGATCATCTTGTCATAGCTCAGGGTGCCGCTTTGATAGATTGAAAAGACCTACGCAGAATCCGAGCAACTTTCCGCAGGTCACACGGACATTGTTCCGCCTGAAAGCCAACTGTTTTCCGCTATGGAACTGGGTAGCAGGGAACCGCTCTTGCCCTTATCCTGAATGTCTCCCTGGAGATCCCGCGCCTGCAAGTCACGCCTTTTGGACGTGTGCGGCGGCTTAAAGTCATTGGCAACACCTATTACTACTGTGGGGGCATCTCGGGGGATTTTCTGGCGCTGAATATCACGTTTGGAATTTTGCGCTTGAATTGCCAGAATGCCTGAGCAATGCGTGGGAGGCGGCTAGAGAATCTCTTTCACCCACTGATGATACCATCGATAATCGAGAGGTATTATATGCAGCTGCGATAGAACTATGGAGATTCGTGGTCGCGACGACAATGACACTATATGGACCGAACGGCTACGTCGTATGGCGGACCTGAGCGTATCGACAGCTCAGCATTTGAAGGCTGCCCGGAATAGCTTAAGGCGTTCCCTGACTCGTTTCCGCAGTTCGACATACCAGCCAGGTGTCGTCACGGGGGGCCAGATAAGGACCAGTGTACGATCCGCTCTAGCGGATGCTCTGCTTCGCCACCTTACTCCAGCTCCATTACGGAACCTGTCAGCAGACGCGGGCCAGGACCTCCTCTATCTGCTTTTATTCTTGGGAGCATCTCGAGGTTATCCAGGGCCAGGCGAAGCCGGGTCGGTAATTGTCAAAATAAACATGGATGCACATGCGGTAGCGATCAGTTGGGTAGCCAGTATGGCTCTCAACTCTGCGCGCACGACAGAAGCCGTGGCTTCATATCACGAGCTCGTCAATGGCTCCGACAAGCTAAGGTCTGAGCCTCCGCTTTGACTACACCTACAAAATCCCCTCTCGGGGACAAAAAAAGGAGGTTATAAAACAGCTTCGAGTGCGTCGGCCACCAGTCCGGCCCAGGCTCTCAAATCTCTACCGGGAGGCCCGGGAGATCGCATATGCTGTTTCTGTGGTTAGCTGGAGCCACCACTCCCGCGAGTACAACCTTATGGCTGCCGGTGCAGCCACTGCTACGGCTGCAAATGTGGAAGCCTTAGGGGACGCACTCTCCATACTAAGCCTTTCGCTTGCTCTGTTCTAGCGAGCATGGACCACGATATCAACCACTAGTGCGAAATGTCGCTACCGGAGGAAGTATAGATTTAGTTAGGGTCTCCTGCGCCGCTTGCACGTCGTGTGCCTCCTACCTGGTCTCCTGAACAGCACGCCTCTAGCCTACACGGCGGAACTCGGGATTAGACCCTTACATTAAAGCGACGTGGCCATTAGGTTGCTGTCGAACGAATACTTTAACTCGGCGATCGTACTTCAATATACCTCACCACCCCAAAAAAAAGAATTCCCTTCCGCGCCAGCGTCATGCGCATGGCGAATTCCCAGTGAAAGTCATTGTCACTTCCTGAAATGATTTCGGATTTCATCGCGGACAAAATTGCCTTTAAAGCTGGCGACGAACGAGGTTGAGCGTTGCGGCTGTGAACCTGTTAAATTAAAGGCAAACGCTAAAGTAGTTTATTAATCGAGGTCCTTACTTCTCATGCTTACCATGTTACATCTAAGTGCTATATCTACGATTTGTTTCCATCGTACAAGAAACACTGTCGTCCCAACGTTCTTACACTACCTGGTAATCTTTTGGTAATCAGTTTACCAGACGACAGCTGTACCTCAGATATATCTACCTTATGTTATCACGAAAATAAGTCACACCCAATTACTGATATCCAATGAACATGCGCCCAAAAAATACATACAAACGGTGCACCTTGTCAACAGTGTCGCGA